CAACAGATGTCCTTTGGAGCGTTCTTGAGAAGAAAGGTGTTGATATGACTTATATTCAAGTCATTAAAGATATGTATGCTAGAGTTGTTACGTGTCTTCGAACTGAAGGAGGATTCACCAAATATTTTTCTATTTCTGTTGGATTACATCAGGAATTGGCTTTAAGCCCATAACTTTTTGATTTAGTTATAGATGGTCTTACGAAAATTTATAGGAAGATGTACCTTGGTGTATGATTTTTGCTGATGATATCCTTCTCGTGGATAACACGAGAGAAAAAGCCCAGAAAAAACTTGAATTATGGAGGTCTACGTTAGAGTCTAAAGGCCTTCATTTGAGTAGAACTAAAATTGAATACATGGAATGTAATTTTAGTAGTAGTAGCTCTAGTAAAAAAAGTGTAACTTTGGGTGATAAAATTATTAAAAGGTGTGAACGATTTAAATATCTCGGGTCTGTTGTTCAAAGCGATGGTGATATAGATGAGGATGTTAATAGTAGATTTCAAGTTGGTTGCTTTGGGCCTTTTGTGTGATAGAAAAGTACCACGTAGACTGAAAGGAAAATTTTATAAGATGGTGGTGAAACCTGCAATGCTCCATTGCACTGAATGTTGGCCTTTAAACGAGAAGCATAATACTAAATTGTGTTGCCGAAATGAGAATGATTAGGTGGATGACTGGCTTTACACTTAAGAGACAAAATGCGAAATGAATATATCCAGTGACGACAAAATTAGAAAGGGTCGCCTTAGATGGTTTGGTTACATTAAACGTCGACCATTTGATGATCTGATTAAGAGAGTAGAAGTTTTAGATTCGACTCATGTTAAAAAATGCAGAGTTAGACCTAGGAAGACGTGGGATTATTGTATAAAAAGTGATCTTAATTTATTAGAACTAACTGAAAATATGACACTAAATAGGACGCAATGGAGATAAAGGATTCATGTAGCCGACCCAACAAAGTGGGATTAAAGCTTTGTTGTTGTTGTTGTCGTCTCAAAACAACACGACTGTCCTCATTTTTCAGTTTATTAATTTATCAGAAACAAATAGGCACAAATATCTCCAGATTTTGAAACAAATGTCTTCAAAATTTAATATTAAAACTCCAAAAAAAACTACAAATGATTTTAATTTTTTTTTATAAATTATAGACAAGAGATCAATTAATCAAACACATAATATGGACTTTAAAATACCGCTTGCTACTATTTTAAAAGTTCCTAATCAGAATTGTCAAGACATTCTGACATTTTTTCCCCAAATAATTTACATTCATCAAAATCTAATAAATCAATCATCAATTATAAAAAAGGGTTAGTAGAGAAACAGCACCAAATATATTAAATTCAAATCCAATCCTATTATAAAATTAAATTCGAACTAAATATTATACAAAAGAGAGTAATGCAAACAAATAAAATAAATCAAATAAAAAAAACATCAAATTAGTCAAAAAAAAAGAGCTTAAAAAAGAATGAAAAAAGGTTCAATTCAGGCATATTGTGTGGCCTAATTTTACTCATTTTAATTGGCCAATGAACTATTGAGCTTTAGCACGTTGCACTGTCATGCATGATCATTGAGATGTATCGCATTATAAATGAAATGAGGCAACAAAGTACAAAGGAAAAGGAAAATACAAAAGTAATATGGTTAGAAATTCCATTAAAAAAAATTCCAGAAAGACTAAAAACTTTGTGTAGAGCTGAATAAGGGTATGTGTGGATTGAGAATTTATAAAATATCACAAATAGTTAACACAAAGCAAGCTATGAAGAAAAGGAAGCCTGCGTTAAAATTCGTTTTTAGAAATGAACATGCGAATTGACCAGTAATGGGAACAAGCCGACCACAAACAGCATATCTAAGGAAACACAGCAAACTATACCTCTGATTGGATCTACCTTCCTCCTTTCCTCCATTGACTGGCATCCATAAAATGATAACAATGCAAGCTTCATTAATGAGCACATGACAGCTCAAGTTTCTCTCACTCAAAATTGAGAATCAACTTAGCTATATTGGCATTGTGCTAGCTATTCAACAATCCGAGCAACAGATGAAAATTCTAAATTTATCCTTGAACCAAATTTAGTCAGTTAAAAAAAGTACGGCACCAAATGTTACAAAATCCCACTAGTAAATGAATGTATAAACATTATGGCCCTTCCACCATGTGTAAAATTGTAAAAATGTAATTTATTACTTTTGACGGTTTTGAGTTCACAGCAAGTCCTAGATGCAGAGGGTAATGCAGTATATAAATGATTCAGTATGAATGTACTGCGGATAAGACCTTTGCAAGAAAAATATGTGTATGGTGAATTGAAAGACAAGCAAATGTTATAAATATACATACATATATATATATATATATATATA